AACAATTTATGGATTCGGATTCGGGGACCTCAAAAACATACCCATGAATTTTTTTGGATTTTTTCGAAGGTTTTCTCTCCACTTGACCTTGAAATGACCTTGAACCTGATGTGATGAAGCTTAACCAACCCGCTCATCGTAATCAGCGACCCAAAAAACCTACTGGGACCAGTCCGCTTCCAGAGTATCCTTTTAGATCAAATGTTGACCTGTGTTACTTTCCAACTTTCTTGTTCTTGGAATTGGGATTTCTTGAAATTAACGCTTTAATGTTACATTTTTCCATTTGTTATGTCGGAAAATTACTAGCTAAAAAACAAAAACTCACTGTGTCTGATACTGACCAACATTATAGGAGCCAGGTCTTGAATTATTTTTATAGTAATGTTTACGATAATAGTGCTATGTGAGCATGGTGAGCGTCCTTATATTTGCTGAATAATTATAATCTTAAAGTTGTTTGATAAATTAGCTCCATATTCTACTTTACAATATTTCCTAATTTCTTTTTTTTCTTTTTCCTTTTTCTTTCACTCTTTTTGGTTCACTCTTTTTAATTCCGACATTTAAATTCTCAATGTAGGGGAGCTCACCATAACAGAATAACTTTTATTCACAGTTTTTATATATGTTTTTATATATGTTAGTTTACGTTGTTTCTGAGGAACTAACGCTCAAAAGCGAGTCGAATCATGTAAACTCGTTTTAGTGAATAAAGAAATTTCACACTTCATAGGTATATTATTTGCGCAACGTCTTCTGCGCTTGACTCCTACTGCCCCTACTATCCTTTCCAGTTCTTTAAAAAATTGTTATTATTCCAACTTGGCTCCTAATATTAAATCATTATTGTTAGTCGATTCGTGGTCAATTTACAATAATAGAGACATTTTTCTATCAAGCACTCCAGCAGATAAAATTTCAGCACAAATTCATTAAATCCTTCCAAAATATATGCATTACATCAACTTTTGGATGTATATTTTTTCAGACCATTCAAAAATTATTTATGAAAAATTGAGGATACTTTTATTGCAGACGAATTAGATTTTGGTATACATACTCGTAATAATGTTTTCAAATTAAATGACTTTGTTTGGAATTAAATATCATCCTCTCGTTTCAGACCTTTAAGAATTTACATATAAAGGTTATGTAAAAGAGAAAACATCGGCTACATTCCAAACAATTTTGTTTGAATTTTGAGAACCATACATGTGAAATTTATAATTGTGAATATGTTTTATTTAATAGATGCAGTTATTACAAGCTTCATTTATGTGCTCATTCGATCTGTATCATTCGATCTGTCCACATTATAATTATGAAAATTATGTCGAATAACGTATAAATGTGTAGTATAAGGGATTACACTAATGACCTTGACATATGTGTTATAGGTCATATATTGTAAGGTAATGATTTTGAGACCTCCGACAAGTTTTAATTGGTAATCGTTCTTCGTTAAAAAGTTATAAACAAAAAAGTTTAAGAAATAACATAACATTTTCTCTCCATATAATTTTTGTTGGTGAAATATTGGAAACAATGGATCCACTTTCGATGTCCTTTATTTTGACATATTGTCAAGGTCAAGGAAAATAGATTTCCTACTCTTAAATCAAAAATTATCTTTGAAAACATTAATTTCCCGATTTTTGTTTTTAAAGCAGGAACTTATTTTCACTTTTCCCCCTGTTTCGGAGCGTCCGACTTCTATGCGAAGCGACTCTCACCCTACTTCTCCTCCTGCTTCGGGGCGCATAACTTTCCCAAGAAATATGATCAATCTCAAAAAGTTGTGCGGTCCTTGGGGAGTCGCTTCGCGTGGAAGTCACACGCCCCTGAACAGGGAGGGAGATGGAATGGGAAAGTTGTAAAATATACTTTAAAGCAGAAAATTTCTGTTTTATATAGTAGAAAAGATATCATTTTTCAAACTTCTTTTATTAATAACTTTTTAATGAAGGACGATCGCCAATTAAAACCTGGCGGAGGTCACTCAGGGTCATGATCTTGACAACATATGTCAAGATCAAGGTTATTGGAATGTGATTCTTTATATTGCATTTACCTAACATATTCGAACAATTGTTAGACAATATGTTATTCGACACAATTTTGCAAATTAATCCGTTTTCTTAAACATTTGTACATCCGTAACAAAAAATTCCTAAAAATATGAAAAAAGGAAAAATGTAAGAAATATGTACAAATATAAAAAAAAAGAATGATTCATAAAATACAAAAAAAAAAACAAAAATATGTAAAAAATTTAGAATACCAAGAAAATAATAAAATAAATGGGCAAGTTAGATTAATTTTTCTGTTGCGTAATAGCGATTTAGTTAATGATTTTTTAAATTAGCAGCGTTAGGTTAATCCAGATCAGTTCCCAGCTATATTTTTGTAAGAAGTTTTTTTTTTAAGAATATCGTTTCTTAACTATTATTAATTATTATTTTGATGTTTTATTTGTGTACCGAACTTCAAAATATCTAGTGTACATTCATTTATAAGAAAAATTTACAAATAAAAATCAAGTATTTGTAAAAAATAAAAAAATTTTTTTAATAGACAGATACAATTGGGCTAAAATTTCTTCTTATTTTGTCATAAGGAATAACTAAAAATTTTGAGAAAAATTTGCATCTGATATTTATGAGATATGCCCCCAAACATTTGGAACGCGATAAAAGACTATGAGACAAAGAGGAGCGGAGAGGTCGAAATATTTACCGACCAAGGTATTATGATGGAACAAGGTCTCGAAAAACAGGTCGGAAATGAGAAGGCTTTTCAACAAGATGTTACGTCCAGAAGATTCTTTTATTTCGATGTGAAGAAGGAATTAGGAAAGACGCAACTGACACTGCTCTTGTGGTTATCGCTCTGAGGCGAGTGCCAAAAGTCGGACGCACTTGACTATGCCCCAGATGTTGATCAACATTGATACGCGACGCGGATATGTCCAGTTTCCAGGACTTTTTTCAAATTGTATTAGCAGATTCCAGGACATTTAGCATTTTCCAGAACTGTCCTGAAAAAATTTTTTTATGTCTTGCAGCTGGTTCCTGGATGTCCTGGAATCTGCCATATGAATACAATGGCAGATTCCGGGTTTGTACATTTAAATGTATATATATTTGGATGAATGTATATACATTTTCCATTTTGTATTGACAGACATTTGGTATTTTCCAGGACTGTCTTGGAAAAATTTTATGCTCTAAGTCAGGTTCCTAGATGTCTTGGAATCATAGTTGTATAAACTCGGAATGTGTCATACGCATACATTATGGCAGATTTGGATGAATGTATGTACATTATAAGTGCGCTCTGCGCACAATATTAGTAGCAAGAATGAATATCAAGATTTCAACCTATATTAGAAACCGTATATTCCAAAGTAATTGGTATCAGATAAGTTGAAATTTTAATATTCATTGCTGTTCCTAATACTTCTTATATTGTGTATAGGTTTTAACACATCAATATAACTTCAGCAAAAATCGGGTCGTGTAAACGAAGTATAAGTATCATGAGCTTAATAGTCGTAGCACAGACTTTCACATAACATGTAATGCGTAGAGTATAAAAGAATTAATTAATAAAAATTTTTCTTTTCCTTGTAACTGAAGGAAAAAAAGGATACTGATTGTCTTAGGTAAACAATAACAGCATATGTTGTCGAGTAATACTATATGACCATGGACTGTAAATTGTTCTTTATTCGATGTCTTACTAGAAAATTGACAAATTCAAAGTGAAAATATTTTCTTACTTTTTGCCAAAAATTGCTGATATAATTTTCGCGGAATGGAGATAACTTCTCGCATCGCGATTGGTATCTTCGCCGATCGATCCCGTCGTTTGCGCCCAATTGAAATGCAACGAATAATAACAATCTTGTTGCAATATTGATGTCAATCGGCTGATGTACGGATCAGCTGTTCGACACCAAGGACACATCGCTAGCCGTGATGTTATTTTAGACAAAGCAGTGTAAAGCTTATAACGCGGCTTTTAAATTTTGATATTGTTAGAAATTATGATATTTTTATGTTCCGCGTGTTATGTGCGCAATGTACGATTATAATTTTATCATATCAAGCAAATTTTATTTTTCATGTAGTTATGATATTGCACGCAGCGCGATGTTATTGCTCTTACTTCTTACCGCGTATCGAGTATCGATCGAGACGCTAGGTGTATCAATAATTGGTTCGTCACGAGGCTTATACCTAATAACAGCTTCTTTATTTTCGTAGACTCTTTGTTATTATTTCACAAATAATCCAACAGGTTATGGGTCCAGTGTGCAGAGGCGCAAAGAACATTAATAAGAACAATTAATAAGCTTACGTAAATTCACAGGTGAAGTGCTCGATCTTGTGAACTTTCTTCGTGTCTTTCACCGCGTCCTTTGTGTCGAAAAATCGAGATGGCGAACTCGGAGCATGGATTCGATTTATCTGAAATCACTTATGCGGTTTGATGGATCTAACTATCAAGTATGGAAGTTCCAAATGTGTACTATATTCACAACTACCGGTCTCCTAAAATTAGTTGATGGAACGGAGACGAAACCACAGCCAACAGCAAACAATTTCGACGCATGGAATGCGCGCAGTGCTAGAGCGATGTGTTATGTCTCATCGTCAATGGATCATAAGCAGCTTGAAACTCCGATAACATGTGAAACAGCAGCTGAAGTGGGCAAAATTAAGTGCCATACATGAGCAGAAAAGCACGGCAAATAAGCTGACATTAATGTCTCATTTCGATCTCAAGATGACGTCAAACGACACTGTTGTACAGCATGGATCGAAAATATGGCAAGTCAACTACGCGATATTGGCGAAGAATTATCTGAGGTCACCATAATGTCCAAAATTTTGAGTGCCCTACCGCAAAAATTTGGCCCACTGGTGACGGCATGGGATAGCGTCAGCGAACCAAAACAGACGCAAACGAAACTCATCGAACATCTCATCAAGGAGGAAGCACGACTTGCCGCCATGGACGACGCGACAAGCAGTTCGGCAGCCATGACAGTACAGCAGAAGCGAAACAAGGGAAATCAACATGGAAACGGCAGATTCCAAATCGAACGTCGATAAAAACAACTTTGATACAAAGAAGAATATCGTATGTTATTTTTGTAAAAAACGCGGTCACATTTCAAGGTATTGCTTTAGAAATAATAAAAGTTCAGAAAATTCAAACGTGGAAAATTTGACGGACGTAAGCGCGTTTGTCGTCACGGAGGCGAAAATGTTTACAGATTTCTTAGATCGCGACGTAAAAAATATTTGGTTTCTCGATTCAGGTGCCTCGAAACACATGACATTCCAACGTGAATGGTTGTACGATTTTCATGAAATAACAAATGAAATCGTCAGTTTTAGGTGATAATACACTATGCGAAGTTAAAGGCTATGGAACGGTAGCGATTAGTTAACGGTGCATGGAAAAACGGAAAACTCGAAAATGTACTGTACGTACCTTTACGTAAAAATTTATTTTCAACCGGCGCGTGTATGAACAAAGGATACTATTATTTTTCATGAAAAGTCTGTCGAAATAAGAAGTTCAAACATTTTGAAAATTCATGGTACTCGACAAGATAATAATTCGTACTGTTTATTGATAGAAACAATGACGATCAACAATGCGAATATTGTCGAAGAAAACGCATTCAAAACCTGGCATAAAAACGTCTCGGTCACATTAACGATGAATGTTTGACGAAAAATGATCAAAGAAAAGCTCGTATTAGGAATAAATTCGTGCAATCTTGATAAATGTTTCTGCGAAGATTGCGTGCTTGGAAAGCAAATAAACTATTTTTTAAAAACGCGAGTAATAAGAAACGCAAGATTGGTGACTTGATTCATGCTGACATTTGTGGACTGATGTCGGAAACGTCAATTGGAGAGTCTCGTTATTTTTTAGTTTTGAAAGACAATTGTTCTGGTTTCCGCAAAGTTTATTTTATGCATCATAAAAGCGATTCTTATAATAGATTTGAAGAATTTGTTACAGAATTTAGAAATATTTTCGGTTATGATATAAAGTCTTTGAGAGCTGATAACGGCACGGAATTTACAAATCATATGATGCGTGATTTTATGAAGAATTGTGGTATCATTTTTGAAACATCAGGACTATATATACATGAATAGCACTGCTGAGCATGATATTAGAACAACAGTCGAGTGCACAAGGACGTTAATCGCGAGCGGATTACCGAAAAGTCTATGAGTTGAAGCTACAAATACGGCAATCTACATTATGAACAGATATTCAATCTCATTCGCGTGATGCGATTCCTTATGAACTGGTTAAAAGAAAACCCGATCTTTCTCATGTAAAGATATTTGGAAGCGTTGCATACGCTCATGTTCCCAAAGAATTTTATAAAAAGTGGGAGCCGAAATCAAGTAAAATGTTTTTAGTTGGATATGACGGCGAGTTTAAGAATTATAGATTGTTTAATCCACTTACGAACAAAATAATAGTATCATATAATATAATTTTTAACGAGAAGGCTCGATATAAAAAGAATGAGAACAATGTTTCTTTCAATATCGGTTTAAATAATTCTCCTAACGAAATGAATGACCGTGATGAGATTGAAAGCATCGGAGATGATAATGAATCGAAACCGAAGGTCGTCGAAACAAACAAAAACTATGAATTGCGTAATCGTGATAATTTAAAGCGATCGGATAGATATAAAGCATGCATTGCGTTATACGGCGAGCCAATAACATATGAAGACGCAATAAACGTAAGGAATCGAAAGAATAGACTACTGCAATTAACGAAGAGCTTGAAGCTCATGAATGGAATGATACCTGGACAATAGTCGGTTCACTAGTCGAGAGGAAAGAACATCATTGATTGTGTTACGTCCTACAGACGGCACGATTTTTTTTTCTCTTCGCCGCGACTATGATTGGCGTCTATGAGACCCAAGCGGCGATTCTTCTGATAACGGACTGACAGAATTGAGAAAGGGACCGGACAGGCGCCGCGAAAACTTGTAAATGTCAATCAATCTGGAAAGAATAATAACCTTAATATAGGCCCGAAAAGAGACAAGATTGCAAAGACATTATAAATGTACCGAAGTCACGCAATAGTAAAAATCTAGGCTTTATCATCTGAGATTGACTAACAATTTTATCTTAGAAAACAGGCATGTCGCATTTAAAAAAACGTAAACGCATAGAATAATTTCCAACAGGAGCGTTATCTGAAACCAGACTCGCAACTGACAATGATAGCATGGTAACCATCTGCTTATCTAGTTATATTTTCCGCGAGAATAACAGAATCCGTCTTGGAGCAATCTTGGCTCTTTAAGGAAAACGATAAATCACTTTCTCGTCTTCTCAAAACTACTCTATGTACTTTAGATCAACTACGATAAAACGTTATAAAAATCGTAAATCTCGCGTGACATTACAACTAACTTCAGCATCCTAGACAAAGAGCTCAACACCCTTTTTTCGGGATATAAATAGAGGTCTCGCGGAAGCACAGAGCGTTAGTACCAAATTTTGAAGCACCCGGTTCACGTCAGTACAGAATTTTAAACCATTCAGTCCACGTCAGTGGAGTTCGCGCTTAGTTACTTATTGTCTCGCACAGTCCGAAAATCATTATAACCTGCGCTAATCACGTCAGTTCGCGATTCCGTCCGAGTGTGAACTTGTAATCAAATCGCAACTGAAGTTAGCCATACGCCACGGTGACTGCCCTTCAGACG